AGCCCCAACCCCAGGTGGAGGCAGACCCATTCCCTGAGCCTCCAGGCCAGCCCATCACCTGCCCACCATGCTCACAGGCCTTTCCTGGTCTCCCTCCCCACGACCCACCCTACCCTTCCTCCCCCTCACCTCACACACACCCCCCACCTGCTCCAGCTGCAGGGACACATTCTACTCGCCTCAGGGCCTTTGCATGTGCCATTCCTCTGCCTGGGACACCCCTGCTCCACATCCACCCGCCTCCAGCTCTCCTCCCTCCACAGATCCCTGTGTCCATCAAGCAGAGTCTCCCTGACTCCCAGCCCCCAACAGCCTCCATGTGGCCCACCCAACCCACCCACCCAAGTACCCCCACCACAATCAGGATAGCCTTGCCGGGCACACGGTGGAAGCTGGCCGAGTCCCAGCGTGGGCCTGCTGGGAGAACCTGGTGGGCCCAGCACAGATCTCAGGACAGGAGAGGCTTGTATAGCGAGGCCACCCCACAGCGAGTGTTTGCAGGAGCCCCCACCCCTCACTGCACCGCTCTCCCCACCCCCACAACATTCCCAGGGTCCAGCTGGGCAGCAGATGTGGGGGTGGGGGCCACACTCGGCCTCACCATGCCACACACACGGGGCACTTAATCAGCACTTACTGGCCTCTGCCTACTAATCAGGCCACCAGTAAGCTGGAGGGACACCAACTGTCTGCCCAGATCAGGGCTCTGTGGGTACCTGGTGGGGAATGGCTAGAAGTCCAGGCCGCTGGGGAGGAGGTGCAGGGGGCTCAGCCAGGACGCTTCCTGGGCAGTCTAATGACACTGAACGTGACACGGACACAGCCAGGGCCCTCCCGGGCAGACAATTCCCAGCTCACACGAATTCCCCCTTCTACACCCCCCTGCCCCAAGGCCTTCCTGTTACTTCTCATATCCACCCAAACAGCCCAACCCAGCCTCACCTCCTCCAGGAAGCCCTCCTGAACACATAAGCCAAGAGGATGACACATCACAGCCCTGCTCCAAACTCAGGTTCCAATGGGAGCTCAGGCCCATGTCCAGGGACCACAGAAGCAGCCACCCCAGGGACGGGGCTCCCCCCACCCCACCTCCTGCAGGTGCTCAGAGATCTGCCACTCCACTGTTGCCCTCCCCAGTTGTCAGGAAAATGTCCTTCCCCAGGAAGCTCTCCTACTATGGACTCCTATCTCCACTGCTGGGAGTGTCTCTACTTCCACTCCCCTCCCCACCCCAGGGCTCGACATAGGCCCTCGGAGCGTGGGGCGGGGGCAGATCCAGAGACACACGGACACACAGACACACGTACTGCAACCCCTTTCCTTTCCAGTCAGAGGAAGTTGGGGCGGCCTCATGCGTCCCAGAGCCCTGGGGAGCCCGGCTGGCCTAGGGCCGCGAGGCTCCCAGTCTGGGGACCACGGCCCGGGAACTCCAGGTCCAGAGAAACAAAGACACACTAGCGTCAAGGTGAGGGGCCCAGAACAGGTACTGGGGGGGGGGGGTGTGGGCTCAGAGGAGGGAGTGCCCCCGGGCCTGTGCCCACACAGTGCTCAGGGGTCACGGCCACAGGGTCAGGAGGCTGAGAAGGACACAAGACCGTCTGCTCACGTCCAGTCTGTGGAGCCAGAGGGGGCTGTGGGGGGCAGGTGAGGGCAGATGGTGGCCCACCCTTTTCCGCATCAATGCCCTGTGTGTCCTCGCTGAGGCACCCATGCCCGCCAGGAGCCCAGGTGCAGGCAGCAACCACAGAGCGAGCGGCATGACAGTTTGGGGCACTGATTTTTACAAAATGCCTTCAAGGACCTGGATGCATCAGCCTCACCTCCCTGCCGGGCAGGGGCCAGCCAGATACTCAAACTCCAGCGTCGGGCCAGGCTCACCCAGCTCTGTCCTCCAGCAGCCGTGTGACCTTGTCATGTCCTTTGTCTTCTCTGAACCCTATGCTCAGGGCATTCGGTGCCCATTCCCTGGGACACACCTCCTGGAGGTGTCCACCATCCCCAAGCCCCAAAGTGCCTCCTTGGCCACCTCCTAGTCCCTACGCACCCCAACGGGGCCACAGCCAGCCCGTGGCTCACATGGCAACCGCGGCAGGGCCCCCTTCCCAGCCGGCACCCCTGGGAGGCCCCTCCTGGCCTGGGTGCTGGGACGTGGCAGCTGCATCACAGGCAGCGCCAAGTCAGGAACCCCAGGGGAGCCCGGGCAGAACACAACACAGCCTCTCGGGCTACAACACATAGATCCCACCCACCTTCCTCTATAAATAAACCTGTGTAGGAGAAACAGCGCTCGCCCCAAAAGTTCTAACACAATTATGTTTTCAAAAAGCAAACTAAATCATTATTGATAGGTGCTGTCCTTGGAAGCTCCTCTACAGTGGATCGGGTATCCCTTAAGGCAACGACAGAACACATGTGTTCATTTGTGTGGGGGGCCGTCCACGCGGGGGTTCCGGAAAGTCCGAGACTTAAGTAAGGCCTCTTCCTGTGTTCCAACTGCCTATCTCATCCCTGTTCAGGGCTGGGCTCGGCGGACCAGCTGGGACTCTGCCAGCGTCCAGGGAGCGAGGAGTTGCTTTACGAAGTGTGGGTTCCCAGAGCAAACCCAATTATCCCATTTCCCTCTGCGAGTTTACCCTCCACAGCAGTAAAGGCTCCAGGAAAGGATGGTGGGCGCCGCCAACACGACATCCACCTGCAGGGCAGGAGACCAAGGCCAAGGCGCACACCCTCGGCCCCAGGACAGACAACAGGCAGTCCCTAGAAAACCACAGGCCGCCCTCTAAGCTCCTGCCTCTCTCAAGGCCGCCACTCCCGACTCCCAGGAAACTGAAGCGCTCTGGAAAGCCTTGCTGAGGCCCATGGGCTTCCCCGAGGGGGCCAGTCCCCACCTGTCCAGGCGGGCTGGCTTATTTTAGGCTCTCCCTGCGGCCGAGGCACCCCAGCACCAGGGCCTGGCATCTGCTGCGGGTCAGCAGCCGTCCCCACACGCTGGGGGCCTGACAAGCCCACCCCACTCAACAGATGCAGCATTTCCACGGCCAGGCCAGGGTAAAATGATCCTGGGACCTGAGCTCCTCCACACCCCTGCCAGTCAGAAGGGGTGCTCTTCCCTGGCTGAGAGCTCTCCTCCTCCTGCTCTAAGCACCCTCCTGCTCCTGGAGTCATGAGAAGCCCAGGGACAGGGACACTGGCAGGTGGCCCAGCCAGTCCCATCCCCCCTCCCTGGGCCTCACCCGACATGCATGTGGCATCCCCCCACATGCATGTGGCATCCCCCCACCTCCCCTGCACTAAGTAACACAAACAACCTTGTTAGATGTCCTGAAGGACGTAGCCCGCCAGGAACATCCAGAACACAGGGTCAGGCTGGAAGACTCCCTGGGCCGAGAGGGGACAGAGCAGCCAGACCAGGGGCTGTCAGGAAAGAGAAAGTGCAGGCCCACTGGGATCCTTCCCTATCTGGTCTCTGCGTATGCTTGGAAAAGACAGACACGCAGAGAGGGCAGCCTCAGGTCCCAGGGCCTTAGGTCACCCACCCCATCCCCTACCACCTCACCCAGCCAGGCCACCTTCCCGCCAAAATGAGGTGGCCTGGAAATGGCCAGGGTTCTAGAGGGAAGACTAGCCTACAGCCACCCTGCAAACTCAGCCTGGCAGCTGCTCCGGGGGAGGGGGGGCTGCCAAGCCCACCGAGGGGCTGCGGGACAAAGGCAGGCAGTGGAGCCTGCTGCCACACTGTGGCGGCCCCTGGGCCATCACCCTCTACCCAGGCCACAATGACCCCCTTCACAACCAGGGGGCTAACCTGACTCAGCCCATGTTTGAATTTCAGAAAAGAAAAAAAGACACGGTTTATTACTTTCCTGATACAAATTCCTCTTCGTGTGTGATGTTTGTACAGTTACACACACACAATAGGAAAAATATATACACGCATCGCTCATTCTGCCTGTCTCCTCCACACCAAACAAGGGAAGTTCACGTGCAAGGTCTTGCCCCTGTCAGCCTCCTCTCCTCAGCACTCCCACCGTGCTGTCACCCAATCCCTCCAGGCCGGGGGGAGGGAATGCCTGGCGCCCACAGCCCAGCCACCTGGCAACGAGCTCCACAGGCCAGTGGGAGAACCAGCTGGGACACAGGGCCTGCTGACAGTCCCCAAAGGCCACCTGCTGGGGGCCACCAGACTGCTACCTGCGTCCCAGAAATGCCCCCTACTCGACCCACCTCTGATCTGGAACCTTCTCTGAAAGTCTGTATCCATCTCACCAAGAGCAAAAAGGGGGAGCCCCTTCCTCTCCAGCTAGGGAAGCACAGAGAGAAGCGACACCAGTGTGCCCGAGTGTGGTGCCAACTGCCTCCCTGCCCCCCACCCCCCAGCTGCGCATGACTTAAATCAACCCCAACACCGAGTTCAGCCTGAAAAGGCGAGTTCACAACCAACGTCACTGCCTGTCTCCAGGGAAAAGGACCAGCGAGAGCGCACCGCTTCCAGGCCCCCTAGGGTCTCCTAGGCTCTTCGAAGCGCAAGGAACAGGATGAAAACTTTGCTCTCTTATTGAGGTCCCGCCGGCCTCCTCCTCCTCGCTAGGATCCTGCCTCAGGCTAGACGTTGTGTAAACCCAGACGAGAGAATTCCCTTCCTGACGAGCACCCATGGGGGCGCACGGAGTTCCGCCCACCCCTTCCCTGCCGATCCCTCTCCACTCCAAGCCCGCGGTGGCCTCGCCTCTTCTCTTCCACCCTCTCCGTCCCGAGCTGGCTGTGAAGAGGGAACACCCCATTCGTATCAAGAGAGTCACCCCTGCCGCCCCGCAAAGCGCGGCCCGGGGCCGCCTCTCTCGGAGGAGCGCTGCTCTCGCGCCCCTGCCCTGCGTCCCCAACGCACCCAGCCCGCGCTGAGGCCAAAGAGCCCGAGCGTGGGAGGCACACGCGGAGGAGGTCCCGCGCCCCGGACCCCCATGCCCCGGATCCCCGCACCCCCGACGGCCCGGGAAGGATATGGGTTACAGACCAGCCGGAGACACCAGCTGCGCGGCCGCGTGGTCTGCCCGAGGCAGAAAAAGACGGTGGCCGCCAGTGCCGGGTACGGGACGGGCTGCTCCTCGTCGGCGCCCAGCTCCGCGCCGCGCTTGGCCGCCGGGCTCTGGGGGGGCGACGCACCGGGCCTCGACCCCCGCTCCGCCTCTGGCCCCGGGGCCCCAGAGCTCGCCGGGGACGCCCCCGCCGCAGGGCCCGGGGCTGGCGCGCCCAGGGGCACTCGGACCTCGTCGGCCGCCTGCACGCTCTCTGTCATGGTAGCGGCGGGTAGCACCTGCGGGGGACAGCCGGTAACCGGGTCCCGAGAACACCCTCGCCCGCCTCGGGTGGAGCGGGTCCGAGGAAACAGCCACGGCCGCCGGGATGTCTTTGTCTTTTCTCATTAGAGACAAATGCGCCCCCCGCCCTCGCCCGCCCCCTCCCTCCGGCGAGGGCTGGGCGGCCCCTCCCCCACCGCCGGGGCGGGGGCAGGCGCCCCAGGGGCTCCCTCGCCGGCTGCCTCAAGTTGAAGAGGGTCCCGGCGCGCAGTGGGGCGCGCGTCCTCGCCGCGTCTCACCTCGCTCCGGCGGCCGGCGGCGTCCCCGCGGGCATCGCCCGGGCGGCGCGGTCACCGCGGACCGACACGGCACTCGGCCCCGGCTGGAGTGCCGCAGCCCCCGGCCCGCGCCCCCGGCCCGCGCCCCCGGCCCGCCGGATCCCGCTCCTGCTCCCGCTCCGGCTGACCCGGCAGCGACGGCGGAGGCGACCCGGCGCAGAGGGGTCCGCGGGGCGGACGGGCGCGGGACGCGGGGGGCGCGAACCGGCCGGCGGGGCGGTGAACGAGCCCGGAACCTGTCCGCACTCGGCGCAGGAAACTTCAGAGTGAGCTGGGGGCTGGGCGGGGGCGGGGCGGGGCCGGGCCGGCGCGGGGGGCGGGGCCGGGCGGGGGGCTCGGGGAGGGGCCGCTCCGCCCAGAGGCGCGCGCGCGAGCCGCCCCTCCCCCGTCGCGGAGAGCGCCCCGCCCCCCACCCGGGAGGGCGGAGCTGGGCCCGCCCGAGCCCCCCACCGCGCCCCCACCCTCCCACTCCTAGCCAACGGGGCGCCAGGGGGCGCTGGCGGAGAAGCTTGGCGGGGGCGGGGAGTGGCGCCGGCGTCTTCCCCGCCCCCAACTGCGGGGGCGGCCGGAGCCGCGGAGGCCGGCCCTCCCCCTCCCCGCAGCAGGGCTCACCCCCCTGCCCCTCCGCGCCGCGGGCGGGGGTCGGCGAGGGGGCGAGGCTGGCGGGCTTGGGCGGCGCGCTGAGGCCTTGACCGCGGGCGGCGTGCCCCTCCCCCTCCGCATGGGTGTCCTGGGTGTGACCGCGCGTGTGATGTGCTGCTGTATCCGTGGGTGGGATTCTGGGTTCTCGTGCATCCGCATCCCCCCAACACACGCGCGCACGCACACAAGCGCACCTACGGAAGCTTCTTTGAACTTGTCCCTCGCCTAGCCCCCTCCTGGACCGACCGAGACCTGTGGGACCCTGGGGAAGGGGCCAGACCCTCCCGTAGCCCCCCACTCTCACACTGAGACGAGGGACAGAGCACCTCCTCCTGTGCTCTGGGGTCCCTCCCGGCCCCTTGGCCCCTGAGGATCTGCAGGGCTTTCCACTTCCCCACGACCACAAGTCTGCTGGCTCCGGGTGTGACCTCACTCCTTACAAGCCTACTCTCAGCGCTGGATAAAGAGCGGGGCGGCTGGTCCACACAGGCCGGCCCTCCTGGGGCCTCAGGCCTCACCCATTGCTCGGGTGGATGGGTGGGTGGGAGGGCCCACGTGAGGACCCCCAGACCTGGAGAGGCTCTGGCAAAGTCACTGCCAACCCGGGCTTCACCACCTGCGCGGTGGCTCTGCAAAGAGTGCATCCAGAATGGGATGGACGTGCTGTTCGGGGAGAAGGGAAGGCCCCAGGAGGCCCTGTGCCCTCCTCCAACGCTGGGCCCTGGGGTGAGGAAGACAGGAAGGCAGGACCATGGCAGCTCCCATGCAAGACCCAGGCGTTGTCCTGCGCTTGCCCATCACTGCTCAGCAGCACCTCCTCTTGTATATGTGAACTTTTCAAGAAAAGGAAAACATTTACTCTATCTTAATGCTACTACTTAGAGATGGAGGGCCATGACCAGTAATTAAGGCCCTCAAAGAGCAATTAGTGATCCAGCCACCTAAGAGAGGGACTGGGAGAGCCCTGGGCCTAGGATGGAGCCCTGCAGGGAAGCTTGCAAGGGTGGGGTAGACATGAAATCCTCAGCAGGATCCTGGGCAGGGGTCACCTGGACCTTCTGATCCTTTTCACAATGCCCATCTCATTAAACGTTGCTCAAGATTGGTTCTAGCTGGGGAACTGTTAGTGATTTGCTGGACAAAAATTAGTGGGAGGTCGACAGTGTGCCAGGCCCTGCGTGGAACTGGGGAGGCAGTGGCGGTGGCCAGTACAGGCCCTATCCTTGTCCCTTGGAGCTTCATTCCAGCTGGGAGGCAGCCACAGACAAATTTGTGGCTGGAGGAAGAAAATAGTTAAAAGCTGTGTTAAGTGCCATTCAGAGCTGAGATAGGGGGCAGAGGATCTATTTGAGGACAAGAAAGCAGCTGGAAGAGAAGCAGGGGGTTCTTCCCAGCAGCAAGAGCAGACTGTGCAAAGGCCCTGTGGCAGGCAAGAGAGAGCTGAGGAGCAGGAAGAACCAGAGATAGCCTGAGGTGCCCTGCAGGGACCCCGCCATGAAGTGGGGTGGTGAGGGCGGGCAGGGCAGGGCAGGGGTTCCCACGGGGCCCCATGGTGCAGGGAATTCTAAATGTGACAGACTGTCACCCTGCTCTGCGCACTCTGTCCTTTGGACATCTGCGGAAGGGACAGGGCATGGATTTTTAAAATAGGTGTTATTTTTTAAAGACAGCATCTCTAAGCTGACAAAGCCTGTAGCCTTCAGGTGTCCCATGGCCCATTTATAGACCGGTGAGGCTGCACAGACACTGGAAGGGCATTATCCACCTGAAGGTCCTGGAAGGAGACCACCTCCCACCACCTCCGGCTCCAACCAGCACAACTGAGAACCTTGTTCTTGAAGGCGTTGAGTTCCCTGGACTGATACTCACTGACTCTGTGTGTGTGGCATCCGATGGCACCCAGCCCGCGTGGCAGGCTCAGCCATGAGGCTGAGGGCGATGCGTCTCAGGCCTGAGTTGTTCAGCCAGAGGGAGACTGCACCGCGCAGGGAACAGCTCACCCTGCAGACGGGAAATGAGGAACAGATCATGGATTGGTATGAGACGGGAAAATAGCATTAGAAACAATGAAGCAGTAATACATTCACATCGCTAGAAAGGAATGTTGGAGAGATGAAGCACAGGACAATTTGGAAATTGGCATTAAAAGCATTTAATTAAACTGAACAGAGCGTTCAGATTTTTTTTTTAAATCCTCCTGGCCTCTGGAAAATTTGGTTCTGCTTTTTGCTATTTCCTCTTTTTTTTTTTTTTTTTTAAGGGCAAAGCTTTTTCTTGACAAAGATGGGGGCGGAGGGCAAATGGCCCATTGGTTCAGTCAGCAGCAAGTAGAAACTAGACACCTCCCCAGGAGTGGACTCGTACCCTGGGGGCACATGGCTGCAATGGGGGGGTTCAGGCTACCTTGGGGGCCCTCCACCTTGGCAGGCTGGGCCGTGGGGCAGTGGGTAGCATGATCACCTCCATCAGGACCTGTGGGTGCCTGCCCAAGCTCACCACCCCCACCCAGCCACTCTGCTCTGTGCCCAGGCACCCCATTCCCCCTCAGGCTGGCTGAAGCCCACAAGACCCCTCACATCGCATCGGTCCCTTCTCCTGCCTTTCAGGTGGCCTCCTCTTTCCCTCTCCAACCGTTCCCCTCCCCTCCACACACCCCTTTCCATCCAGAAGACCCCACTGGGTCAAGCCTCCTCAAGTTGGCATGACCCACTTCTGTCCCACTTCCAGCCTGTCCTGCCCCACTGTGCCTTTGGACCACAGACCCACCAGCCAAAGTCCCCTCCAGGCCCCAGCCCTGGCCCTGCAGTGCCCACTACTGGGATGCTCCTGCCTGGCCCATGCTTAGCCAGCGCCCTCCTGCCAGTGGTGCCTGCTCCAGGGCCTCTCAGACCCCACATACCTCCCCCACAGCACTCACCTCGTGGTGTTCAGGCCAGACTGGGGCTCCCGAGGGCGGCCACGGTGTCATGTTTAATGTGCCTGCGATGCCTGGCAAGTGCCTGTCCCGGAGGTTGGGGGGTGGCCAGGAAACACTGAGCGGGTGCATGAGTGGCAGGAGCGGTGACCTGAGCGAAGGCTGACAGAGGTGAGGTGCTGGTTACCCAGCAGGTGAGCATGTCCAGAGGAGTGGAGGCTGAGCCCGGATCCCTCCCAGCCACTGCCAGGGGTTCACACCTCAAAGGCAGGGGCCTGGGGCTTCTGCAGGTGGCCGATCCACCTCAGTCACTCCCCCACCCCAGCCTTTCTGAGCCCACCTTACACCTCCTGGACCTGCCACCGTCACCAAGGAGCAGGGCCCAGCTCGCCGCTGCCTGGAAACCAGGCCCAGAGGTGCTCCCCTCGGCGTGTGTGGGGCTAGAGGCCAGGCTCTGCAGGGAGTGGCCTTCAGGGCAGGTGGCAGGGCCAGCACAAGCCTGGACCCCTGCCCAGCTGAGACGCCTCCAGTGACAAGCATCTTACTCCAGATCCATGCTTGCCTGGGCCCGAGCATCCTCGGCTGTCGCCCTAGCTCAAGGGGTGACATGCTGGACATGGTACCCCTGCCCCCAGGACGAAGCAGGCACTAAAGGTGAGGCTTTTCTAAATTCTTACTTGAAACTCACAGCACCGATTGACACAGGTGTCCAGATGATGCCATTTGTTGTAATGCACAGTGGTTTCCTTTGCACTTTAGTGTCCTGTCCATTTTTCAAGCTGTTCCTGCAGAATCAGCCCGTTCTGCCCCTGACAGTCTCCCAGACAAGCCACTCCACTGCCCCCACCCCCCCTCCCCATGGCCCTGGCTCCTCTGCCTCCTGGGTCCCCACAGGGCAGTACTGGACCAGGGACAAGAAGGAGAAGGTGTCCCAGCCCTCAGGCCTCCCTCTGGTCTCTGGCTGCAGAATGGGCACAGTCCACGCTACTCACAGACATCTCCGATTTAGCAGATAAAAATACAGTTTGCCCAGTTAACTTTGAATTTCAGACAAACATGAATAACGTTTAGTATAGGTATATCCCATGCAATAGTTGGGATATATTTATACTTAAAACATTTGTTTATGTCTGAAATTCAAATTTAATTGGGTGCTTTATATCTTATCTAGTGCACCTACTTGGGATGGCACGACAGGTCTATGAAGGGCTAGGAGGGAGGGAGGGAGGGAGGGAGGGGGCTGGGTCCCACCTGAGCCAGGTGCCCGCTGCAGGGCTCTGGGGTGAAATAGCAGGTGCCCGGGGAGGGATTGTTAAACTGGGGTGGGGGGCACCCCGAGTGTGTATGCCTGCGTGGCCAGCACCCTGCAGGCTGGCCCTCGCTCTCCTGCCTCTGCCCTTAGAGGCTCAGAGGGCTTGGTCCCCACCCCCGGCCAGCCAGCTCAGGTTCCCTAGCGTCAGTGTGGAAGGAAAGGGGGACTGTGGGGTGTGGCCTTTGAGCTCCCAGACTTCAAAAGCAGGAG